TCTCTCTCTCTCTCTCTCTCTCTCTCTCTCTCTCTCTCTCTCTCTCTCTCTCTCTCTCTCTCTCTCTCTCTCTCTCTCTCTCTCTCTCACCCAACTTTTCTTCCTGACCATGTGTTTGCTGTTCTGGTGTGTGGTAACAACAGGTGCCATTTGAGGAGATGGTAGAGTCAGTGAAGACACAGATATTGCAGATCTTGTCTGGAGATTACAAGCCACCTGCGGTGGCAGTGTCACCAGCATCACGAGCAATTCAGCTTTCCTGCATTCATGTGGTGCGTGATGAAGTGATGAGTGCATTGGAGAAGGTAGGTGTCCCGGTGTTCATAGTCTCATCATTTTTGTGTCCTTGTCCAGTTCTCAAGGGGGTACCCCTTGAGAACTTTACTGTATTTAATATTTATCTGAGTCTATGAGGATATCAACTCGGATCTGTTGTTTTACTTCATGAAAAAAAAAAAAAAAAAAACAGAAGGGAGTACCGTTACATGTGTTCCATTCATCCACACACACATGGGACAGGTGCACTCTTCTTCAGTCTCCTCTTTTTCCCCCGCTCAAGGTGGGGCGACAAAATTGATTCCCTTGAGTATGAGGTCTGTATGAAGTAGCTCATTCCCTACTGTCTTCACCCGAAGAACGACTGGTCATTAATAGACTCATTATCACAGTAGACTGAAAGTTGCCCCATATATGGTTCCCTTTTCTTTTTGTTCGTCGGTTTTCCCACCCGTCGTTTTGTGCCTCAGAAAAGACAACGAAGAGACAACAGAAAAAAGGTGCAGCCTGCCTACCCACACATACGCATGCATGCACGTGCTCGCCTGCCCGCATACACACACACACACGTATGCCCGCGCCTGCCCGCCCGCCCACACACACGCTCACGCACGCATGCACATTTTGTGTCCCATGAAGTAAGATCAGGTTGTTGGACATTGCAGAACGACGATATTCATCATCCAGTAGGATTGCTGTAATGATTGTGTGGAGGGGAAGCACCTAAGATTTTGGGCCTTGCTCCTCTACACAACATTCGAGATGAAGCTCTTCTGCTTATTGCTGATATATATTTGGACTGGCCAAACATTTTGAATTTACAAGGACCATTTGTATGTTCCAGAGCAGTGGAGCGCGACCTAGTGTTGTAGCTTCGACAAGGATCCGGACGAAATCTTGATCTGTTTCTTCACAATGACATGTGTGGCAGTTCTGAACTTTCGATCTATGTCCTATGAGTGATGTTTTAAACTTATTTTTTTTTATACGAGTCCAGACGTGGCAGGTTTTAAACTTGAATGGGCAAAAAAAAACACGCGCGGGCAAAAGAAACAGCCGCCGAACGCAAATCGGCACCTACGGGCAAAATAGATCCGCTGGCAGCGTAGTTTTGGCGCCTATCGCCGCCAACCAGTTGGGCCAACCCGTAGGCGGACCCATCGGTGGTCGGCAGACTGCCTAACAATTTTATTTTATTTTTTCTGATTACATGGTCGTGAGCGGCTTGAGGAGAGCAGCGCAAATCCACTATAATTTTTTTTGGGGGTGGTGGGGGTTATGGGGGAGATATAGGGGGGTTGGGGGCAGTATGAGGGTGTTAGGGGGATGTATGTTTTTTTTTTTTTGCGGGGTGCCGACTGACCCCGACCGGTGGGTGTCGACCAGCCAACGGTCAGCGCTGACCAATCTAGGGGCGCTGACCGTCGGCGTGACTACTCTGTCCGACGGACTTTTTTTTTTACTTTTTTTCCCCCCTTTCCTGTCTGACACTATAGCCCGCCCCTGTAGTTATGACACCGTATCTCTGTCACAGCCATGGTACCTTCATTTGCCTATTCAAACCCGGCGGCTGTTTTCTTTGCTTGTACGTGTTTTTTTTTCGCCCATTCGAAACTCTGTTCTGACATAAATGTACTTGCCCCCTTTTTCTTGTTTTTGTTTTTTTTGGRGGGGGGGGGGGGGGGGACAGTTTTGTTGAAGTGATGGGAATACGCAAGCTACCAGTGCCTGCAGCAACGGTTCCGTGATTTCATTCACGGAGATTGCCTGCAATTTACTGTTTGCGGAAAGGCCCTTGGATTTGGATTTTCTATCCGGCTGAATGCTTCTCTGCAAGGCCTTGCGGCAGATGTGGAAGCAGTGGTGTGCTTTCGGTACTTGCAGTCTGACCCTCTTCAGAGAAATAGGGGCTTTCCCTTGCAAAATACATATAACTGCAAAGAGGAAGGGGTGTTAGAATAATGCAGCAGTCAGTCGAATTGATGCACATTCACACCCTCCGATATCAAACTGGTGAGCACACGTATGCTTGACCGGGAACTCCAAAAACTCCTCGCATGCAGCCAAGGATTTGATTGTACAATTTGGAAAATGACCTGGGTGCCAGCCACATTCATCGAACGGGAAGAAAAGTGCGTTACGTTACAATTTGTCTGAGCACCCTGTCCTGCCCAACTTGAAAAGCTCCGCCACCCCAGATATGTGGACAAGGAGTCTGTGCAGTTTACCAGCTCCAAACAGTTGAAGCACTTGGACCCACCTCCACATTGCATTCATCGATTTCTAGCCTCGTGACCGTAGCAAGCTGCACCCTCAGCTTGACATCACAAGCTGATGAGCAAAATGCTTGAAGTTTGCCTTGTGCACGACTTCAAAACTGCAGGAATGGATTGGTAAACTGACTGGCGTCGATTTTGGCACGCATGAAACCTAAACCCGAACCATCACAGCTTATCGCAGACTGAGTGGCTGGAATGTCGCACTTGTGAGTGAGGGGGAGATGGCCGGACGAAGTTCTAGAAAAAGTTTGTTCCTTCAAATGTGTACCTACTCCTTTATGGCATGTGATCTTGACAATTTGTATTTGACATTCCGATTGACGGTGCATTACGACTTCTCAACTTTCCCTACGACCTGATCGGTTTCACAATCTGACGGACCGTTCCAAATTGACTGCAGCTGGCATCTGAAAGTGAGGCATACCGGAAGTTCGCTGAGGGCAAGAACCTGGAAAGCAGAGTGGGCCAGGTTCATGTCACACTTGCCCACAAGAAGCAGCATGGTGTGACGACGGTTGTGGGGTACACTGCTGTGGCGGGAACCTCGATGAAGATCCAGTTGGTCGCATTTTTGTTGAATGAGCAGCTTGCAGCATGGGAGGTGGACTGGGCGGAAGAGTATAAGAGCAAAGGGATTGTATCCAAGAACACATTTCCTCACATCACGGTGAGCGAACCTTTCTACCTTTCCTGAATATCAGATAGATGTTCATGCACCTTGTCCCATTGTCACTGGGCCTTCAATGTCCTTCCCTTCCTCTCGTCCGGCTGCTCTTTTAAGTGTTTAACAATTTTTCTCTGGTATTCCTCTGCTGTTCTCTACGGCTTGTCACTGCCCCTTGTTGCCTTTCCCTGACCGACTGGTTAGGCTCCAATGCCCAATTTGCTTTTCTTCAGCACTTGCTGCAATTCTTGCGTCTTTCCATATTATCCTGGGTTAGAACGACGCCCAGTCCAGACGGACCGGGAGGGGTTCCGTCCGGCCAAAACCAGACGAGCCAAAAAACGTCCAAGAATTTTTTATTATTTTTTTTGAAGATGGGTTTGGACTGCGCTCGCTGAGAGGAGCCCAAATCCGCAGGGAAACTTGGGAAAGACGTGTGTTGGGGGGGAGGGTGGGGGGGGGGGGGAGAATGGGGATCTTTGGAGGTCACTGTCGATAAGAGTGTAGTGGAGGTGCTTGCAACATGTCCTTTTCCTTTGTCTGCTGCCGTTTTGCCTCTCGTCCTTCCAGACCCGCCACTCCCCCCGCCGAGGCCCTTACCACCGCCCGCCATAGTGTCGTGTAAGCAGAGGATGCAAGGACCAACAGTGAGGGAAAAAAGAGAGTAAAAATATCCGAAGGAGAAATAGAAAGAGAAGAAGAAGAAGAAGAAGAAGAAGAAGGAGAAATAGAAGGAGAAGAAGAAGCAGAAGAAGAAGAAGAAGACGAAGGGAAGAAAAAGAAGAAGAAGCTGCTGTCTGCCGGTACAATATGGGCAGGGAAAAAAAAGTGAACCGGAGATAGCGCCCAGTACGATATGGCGGGCAGTACAACATGACTGGCAGATATGCGAGATGGTGGGCGGTAAGATATGGAGGAGGACGAGGGTAGAAAAAGACGAGGAGGAGGAGGAGGAAGACGAAGAGGAGGGAAGGAGGAGGAGAGGAGACTTGAAAAACGAAACAGACGAAAGGAGGAGGAGGAGGAGGAGGGAAGAACAAGGAGGAAGAGGAGGAAGAGGAGGAGGAGGAGGAGGAAGAAGAAGAAGAAGGTAACAGGAGGGGGAGGAGGAAGAGGAGGTGACGAAGAAGAAGATAGGAGGGGGGGGAGAGGGGAGGAAGGAGGAGAGGAAGGAGGAGGAGGAAGATAGAGACTTGAAAAGCAAACAGACGAAAGGAGGAGAAGATGGAAGGAGGAGGAGGAGAGAAGAACAAGACAAAAGGAGGCGGCGGAGGAGGAGCAGGAGGTGGAGGAGGACCTACTGGTAGTGTATGTGGATGACAGAAAAAAAAAAGACAATGATGAAGGAGGTCGAGGAGGAGGAGGAGAGAAGGAGAAAAATAAGTAGGTGGAGGAGGAGGAGAAGGAAAGAAGAAGAAGACGAGAGGAGGAGGAGGGAGGGGGGGGGCGGGGAGAAGGACAAGACGAAAGGAGGACGAGGAGGAGAGAAGAAGAAGAAGACAGGAGTAGGAGCAGCAGGAGGAGGACGAGGACCTGCCGGTAGTCTATGTGCATGACGAAAAAAAAAAAAAACGACGATGAAGGAGGTCGAGGAGGAGGAGGAGGGGGAGAGGAGAAGAATAAGTAGGTGGATGAGGAGGAGGAGAGAAGAAGAAGAGAGGACGAGGAGGAGAGAAGGACAAGAAAGGAGGAGGAGGAGGAGGAAGAGGACCTGCCTGTTTTGTATGGCGATGACGGAAAAAAAAATAGACGACGAGGGAGGAGGAGGAGAGAGAGAGAGAGAGAGAGAGAGGAATCCTGCCCGTCAATAGGTTAACTAGCGGCGGGATTTCACCGCACTGATGTGGCCGCGCGGCACTTCGCCTAATGAACAGGTCCAATGAAATCGGGACGAGGAGGAGGAGGAGAAGGAGAAAGGAGGAGGAGGAGGAGGAGGAGGAAGAGGAGAGAAGAAGAGAGGAGGAGGAGACAGGAGGATGAGGAGGAGGAGTAGAAAGGAGTAGGAGGAAGAGGACAGAAGAAGAAAAGGAGAAATGAAGGAGGAGGAGGAGAGGAAGAAGAAGAAGAGGAAGGAAAGAGGTGGAGGAGGGTTCACTACGATGGCAAAAGCAGCTTCACGGGCAGTGACGGCGGGGAGGGCTTCTCGACGGGGCAGCTGGACAGAGACAACGATGGGCGCAGCTTCACGGGCAGTGACGGCGGGGAGGGCTTCTCGACGGGGCAGCTGGACGGAGACAATGATGGGCAGCTCGACGAGGAGCAGCAGCTACCACGGGCGGGCTTCGTGACGGCAGCGACGACAGGCGGCTTCGCGACAGCAGTGACGACGGGCTTCGCAACAGGGAATACCGCATTCGAATTCGAACACGACGTCGTAGCCCGCCAGAGGGGGAATCAATTTCTTGGCCGCTGATGTCATTGACTGATCTTTGAAGACCTTTTCCCCCCCCTTCAAAGTACTCGCAGATTCAAAAAAAACACTCCGCCTTGGGAGGCGACCAGTAGCCGAAAAAGGCCTCCCCCCCCAACCCGTGTGAAAAAAGGCCTCCCCCCCCAACCCGTGCGAAATTGCGCTGGGCTCGCCCGGCCCCAAACCGGGGGACCCAACCGGCCGGGCCGCCCGGGACCCCTGCCAGACGAAGGCCAGGCCACCGGACGGTCCAGAGTTTAACACAGATATTATCTCTATTTCTTATCAAGTGGATGGCCGCCGCGGCTAGGCCCGCGGCAGACACGTGTGCCTAAGCTCTTTAACCCTATTCCCGTGCGACCTCCTTTTCTTAGTTCTTCCCGTTGTTCGCCACCCCCTCTCCATCCTGTTCCCCCATACCCCACTTCTTGGTCACTTCACCAACCGCTGGTGCTTTCTCTTCCTGCCCCGTCCTCTCCCGTGATGTCTTTCTCCAGGCCCCCACACCGTTCTCCTCCCATGCCTGTCCTTTTGTGTCATCTTTGCAGGACACAAAACAGCACACTTTGGGACGCACTCCACTACTCAGCACACACAAAGAAGACAAAAAATGGTGGGGAGAGAGACTTTGCTGTTCTCTTCGGCTTGTCACTGCCCCTTGTAACAGCGCAAGCAGACGGGCATCATGGCATCAACACAGCGAAGCGCAATGCGACACTGCCAAATGGCCAGACCTCACGGCACACGATCAAAGCTCACGGAGATGGGAAGCAAGGCAATAGCATAGCAAAGCACCAGGCAACACCAACAAAGCAGCCAATTATAAGGCAGCACACCAGCTGCAAAGAACGAAATGGGGAGCATGCGGGGTGGGCAGCAGGGCAGCTGCAAAGATTAACATGGGGAGCAAGCGGGATAGGTAGCATGGAAGCAGCTGCGGAGCATAGAGACAGCAGTCCACAAAGCAGTGCATCACCTACTCACACCACAAGTAAACCCAACAGACTGTTGTTGGTTCACACCAACTGCTGAGTGGGGGAGTCACTCCGATGAACATTTGCCACCACCCATGGGAATGACATCCCAAACCGTGCAGCCCGCCTAATCTTGCTCCAGGCACTCCAAACGACGAGGAATGACAGACTATTTGGTACTGCTTTGAAAAAAAACGATAAAAGAGGACATAAGAAAACCAAGCAAAAAAATATTTAACCATACATATATAAAAGAAAAGATTGTGTCAATTTGTGTGCGTGTCTCTGCATGTGCAATGTGCATGTATAAAAATGATTGTGTGTGTGTGTGTGTGTGTGTGTGTGTGTGTGTGTGTGTGTGTGTGTGTGTGTTTTAATTTGCTCATCCTGCATTTTTTTCAGGTTTTCCTCCAAAGAGTGGTGTGAGCAGAGTGAGCCTAAGTAGATTTGAACTAATGACTTCTCAGTGCAATATATATAGACTGCTTTGGAATGGGAACAATGTTACAGGTCTCACTTATGATCAGGTTAATCCTTTGTCAGGAAAGGTCATATACGTATTACCTATGTATTCTGTAATCTGGCGAAATAATTATAACGATACAATAAATTGTTTGAATGCGTGATCCTAGTATCATCCCAGTATGACACTTCTTGCCACCCCAACAGCTTGCTTTTTCCTTCCGCCGCAGTAAATGAGATGCGACTTGAAATGACAGTTGTGCCCCATTTGCATCTTGTTATACGTGACTTTGAACAGATCTGGTATGGAGCGGGTATGCGACCGAAGGATGCAAACAGGTTGCCAGCTCTTGTTGCTGCAGGTCAAGCACAGCGTGTTGTTCTTTCGTCACCAATCCCCATCTCTGGGAAGGTAGGGTTTATGTGAGGTGTATATGCAGTCCATGCGATGAGCGAGGATCTGACATCCATCGACATTGCATTGGCGCGGGAGTCTCAAGGTTTTCGGGCTGATGGGCTGAATTTGCTGCCAGGTTCAGCGAACAGCTGTAGTTAGTTAGGACTCAGGAGGATCATTACCCACAACCACCTTTTTCGATCAATACACACGTGCACAGGAGAAGGGGAGAGAGAGAGAGAGAGAGAGAGAGAGAGAGAGAGAGAGAGAGAGTCACCCTTCGCACCATGGTTGAGTTCCTGATTCTTGTGGTGCTGGAGAGCTCTCGTAGAGAAAGGGTTTTTTGCAGAGGCTTTTGTATCACTTCTGTCTAAGAAAAATAAGATTTGGTTTGAGGATGAGCCTTGATGGACGTAGCCGCGGCTCATTGGGCCCCTCGTTCAGCATCATGTGAGATGGGAGCTGCAGTCGAAGTGTGGAGCGAGTTCGCCTCTCTGTCTATAGAAAGCAATGCGTGTGTGTACGTGTTTAAGGCCCCAACCACAGAGCCTCAGAGCATACTCGCTCTAGGACTAACGTATCTGACCGGTACTTGGGACCGATCTGGACGTATCTGACTGCCATTACGTCAAGTTCTACTGTGGATGTGTTCTCTGAAGTGGCCATAACAGCAGGTGGAGGTGATGGAAAAGACCAATTTGCTCAGAATACCCCCTCTGCCTGTCACATGTCAAGTATTCTTTCCCTGTAGGTTTGATTTGAATTTTGAACGGAAATAATGAGTAAAGAATGTCCTGTGTGTTACACATACACCTGAGATGATTTGATCAGAAAACGACGAGTAAGAATGTCCTGCCTGTGTCCCGTGTGTCACCTATACACCTGCGATTAGATATGTGTGATCCGATGATGTGGCCGTAAAGAAGGAATTTCTGACTTCAAGTTTCCTGCCTTTTTTTTCAGGGTAGTTTCGGCGTAGGATTATCAAGTTGATATGTAGAAAAGAAAGCAACACAAAAGAGTCACTGGCTGTGTGTGTGTGTGTGTGTGTGTRKAGAGAGAGAGAGAGAGAGAGAGAGAGAGAGAGGTGGGTGTAATTGATTTGTGAGGGATGACGGGTGCTCAGACTCGTGGTAGTTGGTTGGAAAGGTAGTGAACGGATGCGCCTAGGCACGGCTAGCTCGATACGTGTTGTGTTGAAACGTGACCTTGTTGTGTGTGTAGAAGTGGGATTGGACATTCATTGTAGAGTGCAAGTTTGTGCTAGAAAACTTTTCTTTTTTTTTCTCTTGTTCTTTAAGACCTTGAATCATTGGTACGTCAAATGATTTTGTGAAAGCAAAGGAGGAATGATTTTTTGAAAGCGAAGGAGGGAATGAACGATTTCAGAGATGTCTTTCTGTTGCTATCTGATTTCTGTGGTAATCAGCCCTCCTCCACCTCCCCCCCCCCCCCCCCCCCCGCGGCCCCCTCTCCTCAGACTCCTCTCATATCTGGGCCATCCTATTTGGCCATCATCTGATTGCTATGAATTCGGTGTGATTGAACTGAACCTCCTCTTGGCTCCCATCTCCTTTGTTTTCTCTCTGTTTTCTCTCCCTTGTTTTTGACATCCGTAATGTCTCTGTGGTCGCAGGTTGGCTTGCAGTCCCATCTTGGGGACGGTCCCTCTGTTAAACGTTCTTATTCGTCTGCTCTTGTTCTACAGTGTTCTTTAGTCTCTCTGGCAGTTGCAATTTCTGGTCCTTTGTTTTTTTCCCTTTCTCTTCTTCTTTTGCATGACAGGCTGGGAAGGAATGGAATGGAAGCAGCTAGACTATCACAGAGGAATCAATTGATTCAATTCTTTTGCATTATAGTCTGGGAATGAATGGGATGGAAGCAGCTAGACTATCACAGAAGAATCGATTACGATATTCAAGATGCAAAGGGCGTACTCAGACTAGAGCTTTTCTACTATTTCTGGATGTGATTGGGGTCGGATACACCCTGGTGTGGCTGTAATTGTGGCCAGATGCGTTTAAGCGATGGTGAGTGTGAGTATGCTCTTAAGTTGATCACAAAGAGGTTTGTAACATGTACACAGAACAGACACCAGCCCCTAAATTTTGAATTCTCTTTTTCATGTTTGTGCTTTTTGCTGCGGTGAGTACACTCCTTGTGTGTTCTCCACAACAGATTGTGGTTTCGACTCTTGGGGGTCATCCATTACGACAAGACCTTCCCTTAAGTGGATATATGTGGAAGTACAATATGAGGATTCAGAGAAACGTGTGTCCTGAGCCTAAATCAGAGAATGTATGAATGAAATAGGGCTTGTGCTTTTGCTCTGCCGTCTGTTGCTGCAACTTCATCGTCCTTTTCTTCATGCTTCTCTCTCCCCCTTCCCTGTGCTTCAGCTCCTGTCCATTTGACCCCACTGCCCAACTTGCGGCCTACAGCTTCAGCGCACTCCTTGTGGTCTCCTCTTGCTTCTTCTCTGCTGTCTGTTGTTGTCAACTTCATCATCATTTTCGTTATGCTTCTCTCCCGCCCTTCCCTGTCCTTCAGGTGCTGTCCATTTGACCCCACTGCCCACCTTCTGGACCACCTACGTGTCTTCTTCCCAAGTGATTCGGCTTGTTTTTCCCTTCTGATTGGACCCCTTACACCCACTTGGGGTGTTTTTGGGGGTACAGTGACCCAGCTAGCTCGTGCTCTCTTCCTTTTACTTCCGATTCCTTCCCCGCTCTTCACTGCCTTTCCTTGCCCCAACCCCCCGACACTCCGTCGTTTACCAGTTCCCGCAACAGGCAAACAACTTTACCGTCGCTATTCCTTCACATCTGTACCCAGGGAGCGGCAGGGGGTGGGGTAGGGTTAAAGCGGAAGGGAACGATAGCGTTGTTCGTGGAAGAGTTGGGGGAAGAGGCAGACTGTTGGGGTGGGGGAATCGGAGCGGGTGGAAAAGGTGGGGCCGAAGGCTCGTAGACTGCTTGAGCATAGGTCCGGGGGCGTGGTAAGTGGGGTTGGCAACAGATCGGGAGATAGGGATAAGTGGCCCGACTGCCTACAGTTGTAACAGACACGTTCGTAGGAACAGATCGGGAGATAGGGATACCAGAAATAAGGCCGTCTTGTCTAGGGTATGGGCAGTTCCGAGCAAAGTGGCCCGACTGCCTACAGTTGTAACAGACACGTTCGTAGGATGGGTATTGTCCACCGTCAGCCATCGTGGCTCGGAGGGGAGTGGCGCGAGCAAGGATGCTCACGACACCGCAATTGCGAAGAGAATCAAGTTGATGAGCGAGCTCCTTGAGAAAGCAATGGAAGTAGCCAATGAAGCAGTCCTGAATTACGAGATGGTTACGAAGGGAGGACTCGATGACCACCCTACAATAGATTACGGAGTGGAGGGGTAAAGCGAAAGGAACATAGGTAGGTGGGAGATGGTGGAATGCAGCGAAGGCGAATAGCCAACGGTCAACATAATCCACATGCGTTTACACCATTCAACGAATAGCGGAGTGGTTACAGACGCTGTTCATAAGTGTGGAAATCCAAGCAGGAGATGTGTATAGAACGCGATCTGGGAATGCGTATAGCCAAACAGCCGAGGGATCAAAGGGAAAGAGACGAGACCAAAAGAGGCAGAGCATGGAGAAGGAGAAAGATAGAGGGGAGATGGAGATGAAGATATCGATGACACAGACCATGGTAGCCGTGAGAGAAACGGGTACGTGCTAGAGAACACGCCCTTTATAAAAATGTCAACAGTGAGAGCGGAAGTGTCATGTTGGCGAATTCCATATGATTGTTTCAACCATCCGCCAATGATGGTACCATTAGGGGATGACAGAGCGCGTACCCCAACCAGCTATACTACTCCTTATAGTATACTTCTATCATGACTACCATCCTTTCACGCCGCTTCAAAGGCAAACACAAAGCTGAAGTAGAGAGAGCTCGTAGTGGGAGGTTGAGGCCGGGGCGAACGGAGAAGGAGAGAGAAAGAGGGAGGAGGTGGGGCAAGAGAGAGAGAGAGAGAGAGAGAGAGAGAGAGAGAGAGAGAGAGAGGATGGGGGAGAGGTCGTAAGAAGATTCGAATGCCTGGGAGTGGACTTATAAAGGACTGACGAGACAAGAATCAATACCACAAACTACCAAAATTGTGTCAGGCGTCAGACTGGAGGACGCAGTCCATAGGATCGCAACCACTCGTGCCAGATGGTGTGAATGTTGCAGATAGAAAGGGCTCACAGCATCAACTGTCTCTTCGGAGCGGAACCTCATATGATGTCATGCTGGGTGGTGAAGATTCGGCGAATGTGCCATCAATTCAATGACTAGGAGAGCGCTGAAATAATTGGAGTGTGATGCAGCAGCTGCCGTCTAACAGATGTTTGAATGTCTGAACAGACCTAAAAAAAGTAGCTTAGTTGATCTGTTCACGAAGGAGCAGAGCACGGCATGAACAACCACAGCAAGACAGTAAATAATCCAAGTATTAGAGATCGATTTCAAGAAGCAAATACCATGGTAAATACTTGCCTACTACGAGGGAATGACAATGCCATTGGTGAGGAGAGTGTATCACAAAGATGGGTGACGAACAATGGGAAGGGGTCAGATCGAGGGAGAGAGAGGGAGAGAGAGAGAGGGGGGGTAGAGAGAGAGAGGAGTGGGGAAGGGGAGAGAGTGAGTGGGAGGGAGAGTGAGAAGGTGGCGAAGAGGGAGGCGAGCCAGAGGAGGCTGTGCAAACAGTACGTTTGGGTAGGGGCTGCTCCAGAAATACGGAGCACAGGTACAGGACGTCGTCGAGGGAGAGGGAGAAGAGAGGGGAAGGGGAGAGAAGGAGGGAGATTGAAAAGGTGTTGAAGAAAGAGGCAGGCCAGAGGAGACTGTGCAAACCGTACGTTTGGGTAGGGGCTGCTCCGCAAACACGAAGTGCAGGTACAGGACGTCGTCAGCGAGTAATGGGAATGGTGTTCTGAAAAACAGGACGTTGTCAGCGAGTAATAGGAATGGTGTTCTGAAAACTATCGAGTCAGGTACAGCAGGCGCCGGTCATCATCGAGTTCTGAGAAACGATCAAAGGGTTGGCCGGCGGATCTGGTTGCTATCTTTGGAGAAGAGTCATGCGCAGGCGGTAAACCACAGGACATCAAAGCGAGCACGGGAAGGCCCGATGGGACAAGAGATAGAGGCATCTCAGTTTGCCAATAAATACGGTGGTTGGAAATGCCGGATGGAAAGCCCCCAAAAAGTGAACCGGAGTAGTGGCAGCCCGGGTGGTTGCAGGAGGGAGGCAAAAAGTACCGTCTGGAAAGACCTTGGGCACCCGGTGGATCTAGATTGAGCAAAGCCTGACCTTAGTTATCAACGGTCAAGAAAATGAGGACCCAGGCATGTTATACGCCTTCATGATTTTCGGAAAAAAAACGTGCCAGGCCCTTGGAGAACAATTCGCATGGAGAACCTTTCAGACGTAGCTCACGTCTTAGCAAAAGTAGACTGGATCCCACTCCTCTATAATCTGAGGAGTGGGAGAGCAGCCTGTTCAAATGACATAGGGTCTCGCTCCACTACTATACACTCTCCGAATTTGGAGAGTTCGGCATCGCTCCACTTACTGTACACTATACACGCGCCAAATCGCTTGGATAGCTGTCAGGTACAGGTCGGAGATTGCACTCTCCGTCGGTGTATAGTTCCCAGCCTGCAAAATTTGTTACTCGGATACTCCTCAAAGGAAACCACAGACCTGCTGCGTTTTTGTATGGTGAACCTCAAGTCTGGACGGACAAATTGCTGTCTTCTAGTGCTGTTAGGGTGTTGCGTAGTGAACTCGGGAACTGGAGACTTTGTATAGCAGATAGTAAGTGGAGCGGCCCCGGGTTCCATACATTTTTTCGCGGTCTGACAGCTATACAGCAACTATACGAAATTGTGTATAGTGGACAGTAGTGGAGCGAGACCCATAGTACAAACCCGCGTTTCTGCCGGGGGGGTCCGAACGAAAAGAAGTCCTGGGTGGAACAGATCTTCAGAGGATCATAGCCAAAGATGGTGTCCTGGTTCTTCATAGTGGCCACACAACGTACGGCCAGTGGGACACATAAGGTAGAGATCTGAGATTCGAGAAATTCCCAGGTACCGCTCCTGTCGTCAGTTTGAATAATTAGCAACTTATTATCATAGGTTCGCGTTCAATTTTTTTTTTTCTATTTCTTTTTCTTATTTTCTCTTTTTTTTTTTTTTTTACCTTTCACTACCTTCCTACCACTACTCCTAAGACTATATAGAGGGGACCCCTGCAAGCATAGGGCGTTGCAAATGAGATATTCATGTTGCCTCCCGCCCCAACAGTGGTAGTCAGAGATAAGGTGAGGCCGCCGGTAGGGGTCCGGCTCAC